GCATGTATTTCTCTAAACTTGCAGCCAGGTGGAAAGGATTTAGCTGCAGTTGGATTAGATGTGTACATACACATGCATGTATGTGCATAAACACACACACACAGATATATTATGTATACTTTTTTCCTTGCCTTATGCTTCCCAGTTGCTGACTCAAGGAGCCAGTAAGTTCATCACATAGAGCCACAAGCCATTTTGACACTGGCAGGAAGAGGATGTGAAAGGGTTGGGGGCGGTTACCAACATGAAACATGTGACAGAGCTGAGCTTTGCACCTGTTGTGTTTCTTCGGGGAAATAATGTCCTCTGCTGTTCTTCCGCTTCCTTTTCAGGCAAAACGCCTTGTGCGTACTGTGTTAGTGTTGGAGTTGAAAGCTCTTTCATTTCGTGGGACAGCTAATGTGTCTGCCCTGTGTCCGGCTAGGACAGGGATAACTTTTGCAGCAGCGAAGACGGGCACAGCCGGGACCCAGGGGATATTCAATCCCACCTCAGCAAGCACGGGGAAGCGGGGAGGGAGGGCGGTTTTCCAGTGCTTGGCGCAGGAAGCGATTGGGTGAGCAAAGGCGCATGAAGTGCTCACCTGTCTTGTACACTCTGCTATTAGTATTGGGGATGTTACTGTCCGTTTTTCTGATTTCTAGTAAAATGTCCTTATCTCACACTGTGATCTCTCATTTTCTGTGCCTCCAGTTCTGCTCTCCATCCCGTCACCAGGGGCTGCAGGGGTGGGGAGTGTTGAGCCAGCAGCACGTGATGCGGGGTGTTTCAGTAGAAACAATAAATTGAGGAATACCATTCCTAAACCACGACAGTGTCCAAACGTGATGGTGGAAAAGCACTACATAATCCAAAGCTGTATTTCTATTCAAACTTTCACTCAGGTGTTTTGGTTTTATTTAGTGAAGCAACGAGTTCTTCAGAAACAGCCTCATGAGTTGCATTTGGAAGGAAAAGGCGTAGTGAAGTTGACTGTCACAGAGCCAGAAAGCACACTAGCTACTGAAGAGGGGACACCTGAAGAAAAACCAGCTCCCACAAAGGTGAACAAAACTTATAATCTCAACCAAACCTCAGAAACAGTGGTAACAGAATCACATCTGTCACTGATATTTTGCTTTCACTTTGTTTTAGGCTCTGGATGCCGTGAGCAACCTTCAAACAAAAGGTAAAATGCTATCCTCACTCTCTGATTCTTCCTAAAACAAAGATGTTGGTGCTCTTCTGCACACGTGGCTCTAGTTCTGTGGGGAGTTTTGCTGAAAGTTCCTGAGTTTGGTATTGTGACTCAGGTGATACAGGGAAGGAATGTCTGTGCAGGGGCACTGCAGACTTGATCGCCACGAATGGAGTTCACCTTGCCAGACTTGGACAATGGGCCTGGTTTTAGCTTCATGCTGCACTGATGGCAGGGCACGGTGGTCATCGGGGGGCTTTACATGGAATCACGCAGGGCTACTGGTGGCCTGTGGTGCCTGTGGATGTCCTGAGCTGTGTTCAGCCTTGTTACACCTTCACCAGGGCTAAGAAAATGATGCAGAGGCTGCAACCAACCCTTACTGACAGCTGAGAAGCCGCGGCCAGTGATCTCAATGGATTTTAGTTGAGTTTAATCTCTGGCCCCAAGACACAAAACAAAATGGCCTTGGACTTGTTTAGTCATGGCTGTTTTTGTGCCACCAAAGAAGGTTGCCTGCAGCTTGCAGAATATTGCATCTGGGCTGGTTTGGATCCCAAAATGTCCAGGGATACCCTGCAGTACTTGGTTGGTTAGCAATCTGCTTTCTTGGGGAAGGAAAGGAGAGAAAGAGTAGGAAGAATCTGTTTATTCCAGGAAATGTGTACCAACACTTTCTGTGACTGACTTCTCTTTGCGCTGCAGAGAGTTTTGCTCCAAGTGGTGAACTCGAGGAAGAAGTTGGCTGTGCAGAGACCTCACCTTCGGTGGTGTTTGACAACATAGAAAAATGCAGTCCAAACTGCTTACGTTTGCTGTTGGAGAACATCAGCGGCCTGACTGTAGATGAGGACTTCACTGTGGAAGTGATACCTGAAATAAATGTTGCTGTAGCTACCTTTATAAAAAGTATTGGTAAGAGAGGGGGACTCCATCCCTCATCACCATGTATATGTACGAGTAACAGCTTTCAGAGCTTGATTCCTCTCCTGTGAGAGATCCAGACTGTTTTGTAAAAGTACCTGGGTGGCAGTCTCTCAGGAAAGATGGCTTACACACAGCTCCACAAAAGTGCCTGTGACCCCAATGTTACACTGAAGAAAGTAAAATGGTGGCGTCTCCATTCATTGAAATTGGATGAGAGTGGTTTGTTGTTTCCATCTGGGCTTGGGTTGGATGAAGAGGAATTAGAAGTGCACTGAGTGTGGGGATTTTTGCAAGTTGTTGAGCTATATAAGGTCTCGTTTTGAGAAGAC